CTGAACTGATGGACACATTCACAAAGTGTTTCTCACACACACACACACACACACACACACACACACACACACACACACACACACACACACACACATACACACATACACACAATAAGAATGAGAGATGAATTTCAAATCAAACAAATACTTGGAAACCATGGACGAATATAAAGCTGAGGGAAAACACTGAAATAAAATGAAAGGAAGATTTACAGGAAAACTATTCCTGGTGTTATTTCCCAATAATGCATCACATTGAAACTCATGTTTCTGTCTCAGCCAAAATCATCAGACGTCTCATTGAATTCAAAGTAAAAGAAACAGATCAGAACTACATTTTTGAGTGAATTTTCCTTCTTATGTTGTCAGAGCAGAAAAAACAATAATGGATCTACAGGTTCTGACAGTTTCAGAAAAGTGAAATACTAAACTTTATGAACCGTAAGGAAAGTTAAGGACCCATGTCTATGCATTTACTGTATTTATTTCATTTATTTTACATAACCAATGGGATTAAAGAAAAAATCTGAACTGTTAAAACACTTTCTTTGTTTCCTTTGACATTAGAGTTTATATGTTGTGCAGCAGCAACAGCAGCAGCAGCTCCGTGTCCCGTTACGCACAGAAACCGACGCAAACCTCCAACATAAATTCCAGACTGAAGCTCAGAAACATATTTAAGAGCGGCACATGTGTCCGACACGTCTCTAGCAGAGCAGGAGAGACTTCATGCTGTGATTGGCTCGGGGGCAGCAATTACATCAGAGACTCAACAGGCGCTACGACAACACTGGGAATTTAACTGGAGGTGGGATTGTTCAGTACGACTGCTGATGTTTTGTTTTCAGTGCCGGCGTGTTACTGTAATTTTACCTACAGGGGTAATTTTACAGGAACAGGAGAGAAATATGTATCATAGGAATAGATCTGACTCACATAAATACGTAAATAAAGCGACAACAGCTGAGGATGTAATGTTGACTCATGTAAATAAGAAAATGGATATTGTATTAGCAACTTAAATAGGTCAATAGTCACTGACAGACAATTCACTGCTGTATTTCAAATGATTTTCTTCTCAGTTGTGCAAATGTAGTTTGTCTGCATGATTTTGCTCAAGTGGTTAAAACCTTAAAGCCTTTAATTTAATTTGTTTTCCAACAACATCCAACCAAAGCATGAGTAATGATTTTATGGATGTTCTGTCGACTCCAAGCTCTTGGAGGGAGATTGTGGTCTTAGTTAAATTATGTAAAAAGTCATCTTTTCCGGGTTTACACAAACTGCCATCGTTCGCTAAATCCATCAAGAGTAGAAGAGGCCTGAACAGAACAAGATGTGGAGCAGGATACTACTGAGCCCAGAGTCTCTGTGCATCCTCCACAGTTTGCAACGCAACATTGTTTTCTTCAAAACATATTTGGCAAACGTGTGTGCATGTTGTTTACAGCAGACAGGGCTGGATTGGCAGCACTTTCACACATTAGAGACATGCATGCTGCTCTTGGATTTCATTTCTCAAACAAACAACCGGAGCACTGGACGAGCTGACACACACACACATACACACAAACAGACACACATTGACACAGACAGACACACACACACACCCTCCTCCTCCTCCCTCGTCCAGTCACATGTCATATCAGGGCAGAATTCAGAGTTTAGACAAATACAATTTCACCTCTAAAGCGAGAATTCTGATCCCTGACTGTGTGAGTGCGTGCAACATAAACCCAGCCAAGGCCCCTCTGTCCCAGAGGACTCACAAATACACAACGCAAATTTAGGAGCATAAACACAAACAAACAACAACACACAACATAGACTGAATAAACATATTCCACAGTGTGAAACAGGCTCGGATTGTCAATGTCAGTGAACAACAACAAGCAGCAGGTCAGTGGTTCTAATGGGAGGAAAACTCACTTAAACACCAACAGCAGTAAACGTGTCACTGCTTCTATACTTGTCTATGTGTGTGTGTTTTAACATTATGAAAAATTGATGGATGAAGACTGAGATAATGAAATGCTTCTTTAATGGGTCGAAACACTTTACACTGATCCGTCTGTTCATCCTAACACATTCCCTCCATCCTTCATTTCCTTCAAGAGGACGAATGGATATAGACAGCTGTTCTGTTTACCTCTCCTTCATCCATTGTTCATCCGTCCATCTATCATCCATCCTGTTCGAGTTTAGTCTACCGCACCCCTGACAAGGGAAAACTTCACCCTTTTCTAACTTAAACTCATTCTGACTCCATCCTGTATTTGTGCACATATTTTATATCCCAGGAAGAACCGTGTCTCATTTGCATACAGAT